AACCTGGATTCTAACATCTGACTTCACCCTTAGCTAGGGAGCTGGGGTCAGAGGTTGTAAACCAGGGACACCTGGCTAAACTCAGCCTTCATTTAAAAAAAAACAGACTATTCCACCTGAAAATCTGAATGTCTAATTTCTCTAGGAAAACGAGATCTGACAGCTCTGGGCCACATTTAGGGGGAACCTGAGTGCAGCTGCCCATATCAAGAAGCCCCACTCTCCCCCATTCACCACAATCTGGTACCTTCCTTTCCGTGCCGGCAGAGCCCTTGGGGACCTTTCAGTTTGCGACCTCCAGTTAGGCGCGCCACCACTGTCCTCTGGTGGTCATCTCCGGTATTGCAGGGAAGGGTCGCTATGAGTCTGCAGTCAGAGGATCTGAAAGAAGGACGGTCCGGGTGGGGCTGGGAGTGGGCAGGGCCCTGGATTCTCGTTTTCCAGGAAGGAGCACTTTACTAGTCGTGGTGGAATCATGAGGATAAGCCATACCAGAGGGTTGTGAGGACGCCCCAAACTTGGATGAATCCCAACACCTGGACATAAAACCAACCAACAAACAGTGTCACTGAGTCGATTCCAACTCACAGCAACCCTGTAGGACAGAGTAGGACTGCCCCCTAGGGTTTCTAAGGCTGTAATCTTTACAGAAACAAACTGCCACATCTTTCTCCCACTGGTGGGTTTCAACCACCAATCGTTCGGTTAGCAGCCGAGCGCTTACCCAGTGTGCCGCCTGGACATGTTGTTAGGTGCTGTCGAGTCAGTTCCGACTCATAGCGACCCTGTGTACAACAGAACAAAACATTGCCCAGTCCTGCGCCACCCTCACAGTCGTTGTTCTGCTTAGGCCCATTGTTGCAGCCACTGCGTCAGTCCATCTCGTTGAGGGTCTTCCTCTTTTTCGCTGACCCTCTACTTTATCAAGCATGATGTCCTTCTCCAGGGACTGATCCCTCCTGATAACACGTCCAACTATGTGACTTGTAGTCTTGCCATCCTTGCTTCTAAGGAGCATTCTGGGCATACTTCTTCCAAGACAGATTTGTTCATTCAGTATTCTTCGCCAACACCCCAATTCAAAGGCGTCCATTCTTCTTCGGTCTCCCGTATTCATCGTCCAGCTTTCACACGCATATGAGGTGATTGAAAACACTATGGCTTCGGTCAGGCGCACCTTAGTTTTCAAGGTGACGTCTTTGCTTTTCAAAATTTTAAAAAGGTCTTTTGCAGCAGATTTGCTCAATGCAATGTGTTGTTTGATTTCTTGACTCCTGCTTCCGTGGATGTT